TTTGATTGATTGTCTTTCTTCTTCTTCTTTTATTTTTCCTTTTAACACAAGAAACCTTGGATGTTTTCCTTAACTTTGCAGCCCAATGGTTTTTGCTTCTTGGACAGATCAGAGTACAGGAAGTCCTCGACTTACAACAATTCATTTAGTGACCATTCAAAGTTACAACGGCGCGGGGAAAAAAGTGACATGAACGTTTTTCACACTTATGAACGTTGCGGCATCCCCAAGGTCACGTGATCCAAATTCTGACACTTGGCAACTGGTTCATACTTATGATCATTGCTGTGTCCCAAGGTCACGTGATCTCCTTTTGCGATCTTCTGACAAACAAAGTCAAAGGGAGAAGCCAGATTCACTCAACAACCATGTTGTTAACCTAACAACTGCAGTGATTCACTTAACAACGGTGTCAAGCAAGATCGTAAAATGGAGAAAAACTCAATATCTGTCTCGCTTAGTAACAGAAATTTTGGGCGCAATTGTGGTCGTAGGTTGAGGACTACATGTATTAGTTCATTAATATCAGCATAATGTCAAAGAATAGAATAGAAAAGAATAGAAATGAAATGAAATTAACAGAACAGAGAACAGAACAGAACAGAACAGAACAGAACAGAATAGAATAGAATAGAATAGAATAGAATAGAATAGAATAGAATAGAATAGAATAGAATAGAATATAGAATGACAGAGTTGGAAGGGACCTTGGAGATCTTCTAGTCCAACCTCCTGCTTAGGCAGGAAACCCTATACCAGGGGTGTCAAATTGCCGGCCCACGGGCCAGATGCATCATGAAAGAATCGTGCCCACCTCATTGCCAGCAATGGGGAAAAAGGTCCGATACGTTGCACAATGTCACATGATGTTGCGAGTTTGACATGTCTGCCCTATACCATTTCAGACAAATAGTTGTCCAGTCTTTTCTTAAAAACTTCCAGTGTTGGAGCATTCACCGCTTCTGGAGGCAGGTTGTTCCACTGGTTAATTGTTCTAACTGTCAGGAAGTTTCTCCTTAGTTCTAGGTTGCTTCTCTCCTTGGTTAGTTTCCATCCGTTGCTTCTTGTCCTGCCTTCAGGCGCCTTGGAGAATAGCTTGACTCCCTCTTCTTTGTGGCAGCCCCTGATATATTGGAACACTGCTATCATGTCCCCCCTCGTCCTTCTCTTCATTAAACTAGACATCCCCAGTTCCAGCAACTGTTCTTTGTATGTTTTAGCCACCAGTCCCCTGATCATCTTTGTTGCTTCTCTCTGCACTCTTTCTAGAGTCTCAACATTAATAATAACATGGCATTCATACCTCTCCATGGCGTTTGATTTTCTTCCAGGGCAAACTGGTCTATGCCAACCAAGGAAAAATGAGTGATTATGAATTCCTTCACAATCAAAGCATCAGCCTCAACGGCACAATTGCCATCACTCGCTATGGAGGAGCCGGCAGAGTTGCCAAGGTAACCTTGCACCGTAGGGAAAAAGTTTTCCTTTTTTGTAGGATGGCCTTGAATGTTCAGGATCAGTAGTTCAAAAACTAAGCTCATCTATTTAAAGGGTAAATCAGTATTTCCCGGACCACTTTAAGATGGGTGGACTTCAACCTGGACCACTTTAAGATGGGTGGACCACTTTAAGATGGGTGGACCACTTTAAGATGGTCCACTTTAAGATGGACCTGGACCACTTTAAGATGGGTGGACTTCAATTCCCAGAATTCCCTAGCCAGCATGGCTGGCTAGGGAATTCTGGGAGTTGAAGTCCACCCATCTTAAAGTGGTCAAGGTTGAGAAACATCAAATTGAAGGTTCACCAAGCTCGTGGGTTTGTTTCCGAACGTTTCGTTACCAGACTAAATAACATATTCACTTACTGACCACCCAAAGCCCTTATAAACCGAAGAACACCAACAATGGCGTCCCCTATAATCCACTGAAGATGTTGCCTAGCCTGGTAACGAAACGTCCGAAAACCAACCCCACAAGCTCAGAGAACGAACCTCCACCCCCATCCTCCCCCTGAGCTACAGATAGTCGCCACCATTGCAAGCACCAAATTGGTTAAGTTAACCCACTGGGGAAATTGTATAGTCCAACGATCAATAAACTAACCCCCATAAGCCAGGTTTTCCCAAGACATGATGGCTACAGATACAAAAAAGCCCTGGAATCATGGTTAACCACTTTAATTGAGCCTCATGTGACATAGGTCTTGATACTGACTTTTGTGCGTGTTGTGTTAACATGGGTAACATGTTCTGATAGTGAGTTAAGGCAGTTTTGTGTGTCAGTCGTTTGGACCACTTTCTCTCTGCCTCACAAAGATGCTTGCAACTCACCGTTACTCTCAGCCTGGCTGAGAGTGATGGGAACTGTAGTCACACATGCCTGGAAGACATTGGAGTTCAGAGGGGCTGTGTGGTTGTGTTCCACAGTATTTTGTAACACACTGTTGAAGATGTCTGGACTCCCTGAATATTTTCTACCCATTTAAAAAAAAAATTATACTGTATATAATGATATTATACATATTTTATCTATCAATATAATATCTAATATATATTATATTTATAATAAAACAGGCAATAATAATATAATATAATATAATATAATATAATATAATATAATATAATATAATATAATATAATAATATAATATAATATAATATAATATAATATAATATAATATACTATAATATAATAATAATATAATATAATAATAATAATATAATATAATATAATATAATATAATATAATATAATATAATATAATATAATATAATATAATATAATATAATACAATACAATACAATACAATACAATACAATACAATACAATACAATATAATAATCAATACTATAATAATATAATAAATGTAATGTAATGTAATATAATGTAATAGTCTATAATATAATATAACATAATATAATATAGTATAATATAATGTAATAAATATAATGTAATGTAATAGTATAGTATATATTATATAATAATCTATATAATTATCTATGTTCTATATTATATATTTTATTATTTTAACTTTATAGTATATTAGCAATCTTAACTTTGAGTTACCTTTTACCTCATATAAGTATTAGTAGATTTATTGAAATTGCTGTAATTTTCCTTAGTTGTATTTTATCCTGGGCTATCATTGAAATAAAAATGGGATGGATGGATGTTTGGAATATTTTGGTTCTAATAAATGGTAATGATTGACCAAAATTGGTGATAGCTTTTCCTATAAGGTTAATGAATAAACAGAAAAAAAGCCACTGGAGACTATTTCGAAATATGATCACAGCAACAAGATTATTGCATGCACAGAGATGGGAAGATGCAGTTGGTGATGTTGACAGATTTTGCTTGGATGGATAAATTGACTGGAGAAAAGTCATCATCTACATTTATTGCTGAGCACAAGCCTCTGATGGACTTTTTTGTGTAAAAGTGGAAAAAAATGAAATTATGGTTTTGATGAGTAGATAGAATAGATTATAGAAAAATATATTTGTACTTATAACTGCTGCAAAGAATATTGGAAGTCACTTTTTAATATCTCTTTAATATCTTTAATATTTAATTTTTAATATCTTTTTTCCTTCTTTTCTATTTTTCTTCAGCTTTTTTCCTTTTCTTGCATGCTGTTTTCTCTCTGATTTTTTTTTACTTTTTTCTTTATATTAGTTTTTTTTATCTTCTTATTTAAACGTTTGAATAAAAACTGTATATAAAATTGGCGATAACCCTTGAAGTCTTATATTTTTAAAGGAAAATTCATCACTGTTGGACCATCATCAGCGGAAGGAATTAAATCCAGATTTCTTTAATTATTGTATTTTTTTATTAAACCTCTTTACTAAGGTATAAAATATAAGTGAAAATAAAGATAGCAGGAAGGGGAAGAGAGTAATGTGAGGTAAAGGGGAAAAAGGGGGGAAAAGCATTTACTTCCAACACTTTTTATCACAGTGGAATAAATATAATATCTCAAGTTTTTACTTTTGCATACTTAGTGAATACTCACCCTTTCTATAACAACAAACTGTTCAAATATCAAATCCCAAAGTCAGAGTTTCATTTTTTTTCTGCCTCAAAAGGGCAAAATCCAGAGGCGGTTTCCAAGTATCTATCCACCTACCTACCTACCTACCTACCTACCTACCTACCTACATCTATCTATCTATCTATCTATCTATCTATCTATCTATCTATCTATCTATCTATCTATCTATCTATCTATCATCTGTCCGTCCATCCATCTATCTATCTATCTATCTATCTATCTATCTATCTATCTATCTATCTATCTATCTATCTATCTATCTATCATCTGTCTGTCCGTCCGTCCGTCCGTCCGTCCGTCCGTCCGTCCGTCCGTCCATCCATCCATCTATCTATCTATCTATCTATCTATCTATCTATCTATCTATCATCTGTCCGTCCATCCATCCATCCATCCATCCATCCATCCATCCATCCATCCATCCATCCATCCATCCATCCATCCATCCATCCATCTATCTATCTATCTATCTATCTATCTATCTATCTATCTATCTATCTATCTATCTTTGCTTTGTCACAAATCCACCAACGATGGTAAAAACTTCCTGGAATTAAATCCTGTTTGATGGTTTTTCCCTTCTCCCTCCAGGCAATCAATGGGGCAAAATTTGGTGTCATTGGTGTGGTGGTGTACACAGATCCTGCAGACATCAACGATGGGAAATCTTCGCCCAAGGAGACCTATCCTTATTCGTGGTACATGCCCCGCTCCGGCGTAGAGAGAGGCTCTTTCAAAACCGGGTTCGGAGATCTCCTGACACCATATTTTCCTGCCAAAAGTAAGAGGAGGCATGAGGTGGCCTTGTCAAGGCTGGCTCCCGCTTTCACCTACATTTTGCTTCGCTCGCAGCTTGACAGTAAAAGGGAGGCGGGTGGAATGCAATGCAATCCAAGAGTGGGGGGAATGTCAGCTCTCGTGAGACATTGCTTCCACCTCAAGGACACACCGAGCAGATGTCGCAGCATGACTGGCTGGTTCCCATAATGAAACGAACAGGCATGATTGGTGGACGTTTTGGACTGCGGGTGGCCCGTAGGGAAAGGGGGAATTAAGTGTGCTTGCTTTTGCATGGGAAATCCAGAGCTGGTTTTGCTTCTTCTGTTTATTCAGTAAAGTTTTATACTCTTGGTAAAATAATGTCGCAGGAGGTTCTTTTTCTGGATTTGCCAACTGGACAGTTGACAGGTCTCTTTGGAGGTCCAAATGGTGGGCTTTGCACCCTCTCTTCCTGTTACAGCAGACATGTCAAACACAAGGCCCGGGGGCCGGATGTGGTCCATGAAGTGGTTTCATGTGGCCTGTGAAGTCATCCTGGAAACAGTGAGGGAACGGCCCCCGCTGCCTTGGCCCTGGCCCAGGCCGGCCGGGAGCCAATGTACAATTTTGTGGTGACCATCTATGCTGAAACGCATTCAGTCTTAGCTCCACAAGGCCGTCTGGAAAAAGTGAGGAACCAGCCCCTGCCGCGTCGGCCCCGTCCCCTGGGTGCATGTTGGGGAGGTGTCACCCTTTGTGAGGAATAAAGAAGTGGACCATGCCTTGGCGCTTGCCCCAGTCCCACCCCCTTCTGCCAGAGACCCTCAGATCTGTCCCACTCCTGCCCAGGCCCCCACAGGCACCCTTGACGCGAACCATGTAGAGCTGGCCATGCCCACCCAATAGGCCATACCCACTCCATCCACGCCCACCCAGTAGGCCGCACCCACCCTGGCCACACACACCCCCAAGGGCAACCGCAGTGCTGATGTGGCCTTCAATGAAATTGAGTTTGACACTCCTGTGTTACAGGCTGAGGCATAATATTGGAGTGGTTTAGGATTCAGGAGATGGTTTGGTAAAGGGCCACCTGTAAGCTCTTTTGGGGTCATTGAAAAGACTTAGAATAACATAAATAGATAATAACATAGTTGGAAGGGACCATAGAGATCATTTAGTCCAACCCATTGCTCGAGCAGAAGAGTCTATACCATTTCAGACACATGGCTGTCTAATTCTTCTTAAAAGCCTCCAGTGATGGGGCACCCACAACTTCTGAAGGCAAGCCAGGTTTTTTTGCCAGTTTTTCATCATCTCTTCTGACTGCTAGTTGGAATTATGTTGGGCTATATTGATTGTAGAATGTAAAACAGCGTTAACTGCTGGAATTCTAATCACTTTATCCCTTCTTTCCCAATGAATCTTGCTAAACTAAAGGGACTCTGACACAACTGAGCTTGCAAAAAATCACTTTTAGATTTTGGTGGCTGCAAAGATATTAAATCAGGGATAGGAAAGCCCACAAATTTGTTTCCAAATATTATCTACTTTTCCCAGCATTCCTCTCCAACTGGCTGTGCCAGTTGGGGAATTGTGGTCTACTAGGATTGGAAGGGGGGCATTGTTTCCCAACTGCCCCCCCAGCCTTTCTTCCTGTGCAGTTCTTTAATCTTTTCCTGCAGCTCAGTTCTTGCTGGGTTCCCAAACACCCCCAATGTTCCTCCCGTTTATTTTCTGTTCCACTTTCTCCTTTTGACATTCAGATTTCACCTACCGGATCCCAGAAGATCAGATCACTGGGATTTCCACAATCCCCATACAACCCATCGGCTTTGAGGATGCCAAGGAGCTGATCTGGTGGGTATCAAATCAAATACATGGAAGCCCTTCATAAGCAGATCACAGATGGGTTACATCAGGGATCTCCAAACATGGCCACTTTAAGATGTGTGGACTTCAACTCCCAGAATTCCCCAGCCAGCATGGCTGGTTGGGGAATTCTGGGAGATGAAGTCCACATGTCTTAAGTAAGGTTTTACATTTAGGCAAGAAAAAACAAATGTACAGGAACAGATTAGATGAAACCTGGCTCAAAAACAGTAACGGTGGGAGGGACCTTGGTGTCCTAATGGACCATCACTTAAACAAGAGCCAGCCGTGTGCAGCAGCAGCCAAAACAGCTAATACAATCCTTGGTTGTATAAACACAGGCATAGAATCAAAATCACATGAAGTATTAGTAGGGAGTCAAGCTCTTCTCCAAAGCACCAGAGGGAAGGACAAGAAGCAACGGATGAAAACTAATCAAGGAGAGAAGCAACCTGGAACTAAGGAGAAACTTCCTGACAGTGAGGACAATTAACCACTGGAACAACCTGCCTCCAGAAGCGGTGAATGCTCCAACACTGGAGGTTTTTAAGAAGAGACTGGACAGCCATTTGTCCGAAATGGTATAGGGTTTCCTGCCTGGGCAGGGGGTTGGATTAGATGACCTCCAAGGTCCTTTCCAACTTTACTATTATTATTATTATTATTATTATTATTATTATTATTATTATTATTATTATTATTATTATTGTTGTTGTTGTTGTTGTTGTTGTTGTTGTTGTTATTATTATAACAGGGGATTGGATTAGAAGATCTCCAAGGTCCCTTTCAATCTTCTTATTCTATGTTGTATGTTCTAAGACTTGATGTAAGAAAGAGAGTGACCCATTGTGACTTCTGGTTATTTTTCTCCTTGGAGAATTAATCCAGCTTTTGTGGTTTCTTTCCATCTCGGTTTGCAGTAACCTTGGCGGACCCAAAGCAGGGGCTGGCTGGCAAGGGGCCCTGGGCTGTGATTACCACCTTGGGCCCGGATTCCAAGGAAATGGGAGCTTTCCTAACACCAGGTAGTCACACCTACGAGAACTTAAATGGGGGGTATCTCAAGAAGCTGGAATGGGTAGGGTGAGATGGACTTCCCCCCAAAAAAATTAGTTGCGTGTGTCCCATTGCAATTGATCAAAGCCAGATTTCTTTGCATCCTAGCAACGTCCAGGTGGAAGTCTACAACCAGAGAGAGATCAAACCATCTTCCAATGTCCTGGGGGTGATACGAGGAAGTGTGGAACCAGGTGAGCTACTCTCCCTTCCTCTTTCCTGCGCTCCCCTCCTCATTTCCATATTCTGGATCCTGGAAGTGGCTTTAACCTGCAGGTTTTATTCTCTCAACCTCATTTGCTTCAGGCTGTAAATCTTTTCCTGAACCAAGTAAATCTTTTCCTGAACCAAGTAAAGATAATCCTCAATTTACAGCCACAATTGAGCCCCAAATTTCTGCTCCTAAACGAGACAGTTGTTAAGTGAATTTTGCCCCATTTTATGCCCCATTTCTTGCAACAGTTGTTAAGTGAATCACTGCAGTGGTTAGGCTAGTAACACGGTTGTTAAGTGAGTCTGCTTCCCTACTGATTTTGCTTGTCAGAAGGTCGCAAAATGGGATCACACTGCAACCGTCATAAATATGAACCAGTTGCCAAGCGTCTGAATTATGATCAGGTGACCAGGGGGATGCTGGGCAACGGTCGTAAGAGTGAAAAACAGTCATAACTCACTTTTCTTTACAGTGTCGTTGTAACTTTGAATGGTCACTAAGTGAACCGCTGTAAGTCAAGGACTTGCTGCACAAAGTTTGTCTTAAAGACGGGATTTGTTTAATGACATGCTAGGGACCGCCTTGATAACAAAAACTTGCATTTTTGTTTATGTTCGTGTGGCTTTGAGTCAGTGTTGACTCCTGGCAATTAAATCTTGCTGTCCTGGATTAAACTGCAGAAACGTTCTCCTTCTAATAGTTTTCTTAACAAACAAAAAAAAAAAGTCTGCTTTTGGACCTTTTGAAGAGAAGTTTTAAGTTCCTCCAGTTTTCTAGGCAAGAAAGCAGAGAAGATGTGTAGCTGAAGGTTGAACTGTGGGGTCCTTGCTGCTCTCAGAGCTTGGTGGTTTGCTTGCAGACATTTCATTACCAAACTAGGTAACACCATCAGTGCTATGTGATCAGAGCTAGCACTGATGATGTTACCTAACTGAGTAATGAAAGATCTTGGCAAGCTCTCAGAAATGATCTGACCAATTTGCCGATAGATTTGAAGTGTGAATTGGGCATGTTGGTGGAGGTGGTTGTGATGGGGATTCACGTTTACTTATAAGGAGCTGGTTGCCCTTTCTATTGGGCGAATCCTCTGGTCCTACGTTCTGTCAGAAGAATAATTTTGGAGTTCCAGCTCAAGCCGGGGTTACACAAGAACAAATCAAAACGAAGTCCAAACAGCTGTGAGGAAAGGAGATTTATTTATTTCCAAAAACAAGGAGGTTTGCTTGTGGGGGTAGCGACAGAGAAAATGAGGTTCAAACGGGCTGTTTTATAAGGGGAGCTTGTCGTTGATGGTGTGGAAGTGTGCACATATTGATTCTAGGGTGACACTTGAGAGGTGTAGGTGTGTTTGTGTATATGTGTTGACTCCTGTTAGAAATTCTGTTTATATGAAGCACCACACAGAGCAAGCAAAGAGAACAGTCACCATGTGCTTTACTGCTGAACTGTTTAACTGTAACAGGAAACTCTACTCAGAACAAAAGAGCATATACTATATACCACAGATCCAAATATGTAAATACTGCCATCTACTGGCTGAATATTATTATAGTTGTTGCATAGAAATACATTCCAACAATGAATTCCAACAACCCTGGAGGAGCCGTTGATTAAATCAAGGGATGTGGATTGGGTCTCTTTGTTTGAACTTTGAGCGTTATAATTATGTTTATACCATGTTAATTGAATTTTGGTTGCTTGTGTGTCTTTAAATTTGAAATAAGTGTTTAATTAATTCTTATGATTGCTGTAAGTTTAAAGGGTTTCGGAGGCTGTTAATCAGTAACTTTCTTGGAGACCTGGGTTAGTTAACATATGACTCCTATACAATATGTCTAACAGAGTTATATAAATTTATAAGTTCTTCCCACAATTCTCTCGTAGTTTCCTCTACAACTACTAGTTGTTTCCTCCTCCTCCTCTTCTAGATCGATACGTCCTGTATGGGAACCACCGGGACAGTTGGGTTCACGGAGCCATTGACCCTAGCAGCGGAACAGCTGTCATGCTTGAAATCACCCGTATTTTGGGGAAGATGGTGAAGGAAGGTGTGTTTGCACGTGTGGGAGAAGGGTGGTTTAAAAAAAAGTAACTAATAAATAAATAAATTTCCTGGAGAAATTTAGTGAAATCTCCTTCACCTCTGGCCCACATTTGGATGGAGAATTTGAGAAGGTGTAATGGTGTATGTGAATGACCTTGGGAGATGCTGCCGGAGGAATTGACAGATAAGAGATAGCTTAGCACACAGCTTTATAACGGGAGAAGGCTCAGAAGAAACCCTCCCTAGTTTTTCAAGCTATACAAGAGGCAGCAAGAGATTTGTACTTTCAGACTTACAAGATTCGATTCATGTAGCTTTAGGAAACAGTCGGATAAGAGACAGCTTAGCCCTCGGCTGCATAACGGATGGAGAGTCTCAAAAGGGACCCTCCCTAGTTTTTCAAGCTGTAAAGGGTGGGGGTGTGATTTGTATTTTCAGATTGGCAAGATTCTGCTAATGTAGCTTGCTCATCTGGTTGTGACTCCTGCCTGGTCTAGCTCAGAGGGTTGACTGAAGATGTTTCCCTTCTGAGCTTCTTTCTCCGTCCATTATGCAGCTCTGGGCCATGTTTCCTTTTATCTGACTGTTTCCTAGACAGCATCATTTCCCCTGGTCTTCCGAGGTCATTACCCTGTCTGGCATTACATGAAACCCAGATGGGCTGAAGAAATAGGACATTGCTAACCCCTGCCTCCAGCATTCCTAGCCTTCTTGGCTAGGGGGATGATGGGAAGTGTAGTTTCTCATCTTGAGCAGGTGATAGGTCAGGATTCTTGCTGGGATGCGTCCAGTCTTTTCCCAGTCTTGCACATCTCACGAAGGGGTTGAGAATTCAGTCTAGGACAGTGGTTCTCAACCTGTGGGTCGGGACCCCATTTGGGGTTGATCGACCATTTCATGGGGGTCGCCAAGCAAGGCTGTCTGCCATTTTTTTTGTCCGCCATTTTTCCCCCTTTTCCGGCGGGTGCCTTACCTTCCTTGGGCTGGGCCAGCTGGTGGTCGGCCTGCTCCGTCTCTGCCACTTGCCAGCTACGCCTCGGCCGGCGCAGGGGGCGGAACCACGCATGCGCGGTGCTCCTGGGCAGGGAAAGTCCTCGTCTTACGACCGGTTGGGTAGTCCTTGACTTACGACCGGTTTAGTCCTCGACTTACAACCGGTTGGGGTCGCGGCATTAAAAAGGTTGAGAACCACTGGTCTAGGAGTTGTCTTCCCACCTCTTCTCATCACACAGGGAAGTGGCGCCCACGAAGAACCCTTATTTTTGGCAGCTGGGGTGCTGAAGAGTTCGGCCTCATCGGCTCGACAGAGTACACAGAGGTAAAAAGAGCTGAGCCGTGCTATCGGTTTCTTCAGCGCAGTTCAAATTAGCTGAGCTTATATGTGGTTTTTCCCGTTTTTTTGCACAGCCTCAATCGATCGGCTGGGATGATTAATGTGGCTTAGCCTGTGATTCAGCCTGTGATTCAGCGAGTCGTGCAAATCGTGGAAATTGGGTTAATTTAGTACAAGCGATTCAATAAACTGCGAATTAACTATGAATCTACTTCTCCCTTCTTTCTGGGGCGCATGCAATGAAATCGCAGAATTTTGGAGGTGCCATCAACCAGAGAAAGAGTGAAAAAATTCTTGATGGTGCTTCATCCCCTGGATCTTCTAATTAAGAAAAGAAATTAAGACCCATAGGTTTCTTGAATGTTTTATTATGACTATTATGACATTTATTATGATATGCATCAGTGATATGTTTTGATTGTCGTGCCGTTTCGCCCTTGACTTATAACCACAATTTGGATCCAAAGGTCACAAATGTGAGCACATGACCCCAGGATGCTGCAAAGTTGTAAATACATGCCTGTTTCAAACAGCCAAACTTTGATCATGTGACCGTGGGGATGCTGCAGCGGTCATAAGTGTGAGAACCAGTCATGTCCATTTTTTTTAACAGTGTTGTAAGTTGAAACAGTTGCTAAATGAATGGCTGTAAACTGAGGGCTATTTGTAAATCTTAACTATGTTTCTTATATATTATTTCACTCTTAAACAATAGCCACCTTGATCATTTGGTATCTTCTGGATGTTTGGGGCTCCCAAGGCCATCAGCCCCTGCCAGTATGAAATGGCAAGGGATTGTGGACACTGTAGTCCAAAACATCTGGAGACCACTGAATCCTCTCTTATTCTCTCTCACTTGTAGGAATTTTTCAGCAAATTGCAAGAGAGGAGCGTGGCCTACATCAACGTGGATATTGCTGTCTTTGGTAAGCTTCTCACATTTTGTACAACCAGGATTGTGGTTTGGCTATTTTCAGTGGTCCCGGGTGTCAAAAATGTCAAAATGGCAACCCTGAAGATCCAAGCAAAGTTCTGTCTGTTTTTTTATGGAGACTCAATCATGGTTTTGCTTGGAAAATGGGTAGAGCTGCAGTCACACTAGTGGGCCCACCCTTGAATTTTTGGTCCATATTCTATAAGCAAGAGTCTCCAAACTTGGCAATTTTAAGACTGATGGACTTCAACTCCCAGAATTCCCCAGCCAGCCATGATGTCTAGGGAATTCTGGGATTTGAAGTCCACCAGTCTACTGTTTCCTTCAGTAGAGTGTTTTGGACTCTTAAAAAAAAATAACAATATTAATTCTATTGTCAGAATTCTCTGCAGCTGAAAATCACTGTAGTTTTTCTGTACCGCCTGCCTCAAAACAGCAGAAAAAATAAGGTCACCAGCTTAATTTTATTTATTGAATGAAATTGAATCAAATCTATAATTGTAGGCAGGGAGTGAGAGAGTCCCCGTCCTGTGCTTCTCGCAAAAGACCGTTCACGTCTCAGGAGCCTAAACATGGTCCTTGACTTACGACCACAATTGAGCCCAAAATTTCCGTTGCTAAGCGAGACAGTTATTAAGTGAATTTTACCTCATTTGATGAACTTTCTTGTCATAGTTGTTAAGTGAATCTTGCAATTGTTACATTAGTAACACGGTTGTTAAATGAATTTGGCTTTGCTTGTCAGGAGTTTACAAAAGGGGATCACGTGACCCCAGGACACTGAAACCGTCCTAAATACAAGTCAGTTGCCAAGCGTCCGAATTTTGATCATGTGGCCATGGGGGATGCTGCAACGGTTGTAAGTGGGGAAAATGGTCACAAGTCCCTTTTTTCCTGTATTTTAACTTTGAATGGTTACTAAACGAACAGTTGTAAGTCAAAATCCACCTAGTATTGATTCTATTGTCAGAACTCTCTGCAGTTAAAAATGAGTGCAGTTTTTCTGTGTCATCTGCCTCAAAATAGAACAAAATGGCTCACCAGCTTCATTTTATAAATTAAATTACATTCATAATTGTGGGCAGGGGGAAAGTGGACCCCACCCCACCCTTGTGCTCAGTTATGAGAAGCGTAACGCATCTTTTAATGCTCAGTTTCTCCTTCCCCAGCTAATGCCACCCTCAGGGTCCAAGGGACGCCCCCAGCCCAAAATGTCATTTTTGCAGCTGCTCAGCAGGTAAGTGGAGAAGCTGAAGGAAAAGGGCAGCTGCTAAAATACAGTTGTGCCCCCCTTGGTAACAAAAGCCTGGGAGTCCCTGGCTGGCTGGGGAATTCTGGGAGTTGAAGTCCTGTTCTGTGACACGAATCAAAATGCCTTTATAATTCAATCACAGACAGCTAAACTCAAACAAAGATGATTGTAAAACATATACTTTAATCCAGGAATACTGCTGAACTCACGGTTTCTTGGTAGTTTCTTCTGAATATTGTACATTTGTCCATCTTTATTAGGTAAAATCATTAATTTCTCCACATCAAACTTCTAGCGTGAATAAGGACCACGTCTGTGTCCTCCGTTGATCCCATGCTTATCTCA